ACCTGAGTTTCATTCAAATTTCTTGAAATTGAACTTCCTACACTCATCATCTTCTAAGACAAAGGGTTAATTAGAATGAATTCTTGGTTAATTGGGAGCTTTAATGTTAGAATTGACAAATTAGACCATGCAAGCTAAGTTAGAAAGGAATTGAAGGAATTTGGCCTTAAATTCGACATGCATGGCATGAAATTATGACATTATTGTTTACACCTTTCCCAGGTGGAAATAAGAACACTGCCATTTTTCTTTCTAAATCCTCTCAAGGAGAAACATAAGGCACCAAAGGGGAAAGGATTAGAAGGCAATAACATAATCAATAACAAAGAGTTCATTGATAATCACGCTTCCGTTTAACCGTTCATCAATGGATTCAGGTATGTCATTTTGTCTTGATTTCTTGATAATACACATGGTAAATGATCCAAAGTGTAAGGTTTATGTTCTGAAATTTATGTTGACATTCCCAACCCACATTTGTAACGTTTTTGGCACTTGTATTTTTAAATATTTTATCCAAAAATATAACTTTTTATTTTGTTCTCAAAATGACACGCAATAAACAAAGCAATAGAGAATTGCTTGATGCAAGTATAGGCGCCTATTCAACAATTTAATCACTTTTGAGAAGACATAACATTTTTTCCAAAATTGGATTTTTTATTTTTATTTTTTGACTTTACCAAACAAAAACTCAAAATTTTTCTAAAAATTGAGCTCAAAAAGTGGCACCAAACATGGTGATTGATTTTTCTATTTGTAAGGTTTAACTAATTTGAACTAATGTAAATATTGAAATAAATAAAAATAAATATACATTTTAGTAGATAAGAGGCGCTAATGTCAGTTTTTATTCATACAACTAACAATTATTTATAAACATTTTATCCATATATATATGGAAAATGCTATAAATTTCAAATAATCTACTAAATATTTTACCAAATCTCTCACATGGGTGTGAGACCCACATAATACCAAATCTCTCACACGAGTACCCACATGAACCCACATGTGTGTGGGTCTCACACCCATGGGAGATTTAGTAAAACATTTGATAGATTATTTGAGATCTCTAGCATTACTCTCTCTATATAAATATTAAGAGAATTTATAATTCTTCACATTTTTCTTCAATTAAATTTAAATTTGATAAAAAAACATTTAAAAATAATTTTAAATTTGATAAAATAAATTTGTTTATCAAATTTAAATTTGATAAAAATTAGAAACAAAAAAAAAAAATTCTTTATATTTTATGAAAAAAATTGAGTTAAGAGATATTTAAAAAAAAAAAATTCAAAAAATTCAAATCAAAATTTGTATTTAAATTAACAAATATAAGTTGATAGATTTGGAATACCCTCACCATTTTTAGTTCCCCCAAATCCATCAACCAAACGCATCTTAAGAAAAAATAAAAAATAAAAAAATAAAGAAATAGGCAGGCGATTTGGGCATCGGGTGGGGTGGGTCGTGCGGTAGAACGGTTATATCAGTTAGCTTAGCTTTGCTTTGCTCTCTGAGTCGTGCTCCTAGGGTTTTAATACGCGGACTTGAAGAAAACTGCCTTGTGATTGAAGTCTAATCCGCACTCAACTCGCCCGTTCGGCGGAACAGACTTTGAGTTTTAGAGGTATGTATGGATTCAAATTTTCATGCTTTTTACAGATTTTGATTATTTAGTCAATTCAATCCAACGCCTTCAATTTCTGATACGATTTAGGGGAAATTTTAGGATTTTCAATTTTGGGTTATGGGTTTTCAAATTCATAGGAATACTGGTGCCTTTGTTGTTAGTACTGAAAAGAATGGCGACTCTATTGAACTACACTAGCGTAAACACAGAACATAGCCTGATGATTTTACCCAATTGCCTTATAACCCTATTGCCTCATATATGCATTAGAGAGAGGTACGCAGTGACCCACAGTTGAGTTATCAAATCAATCCCAACAAGATGAGCCCTCGGAAATAAAGGCTATTTCCCTCTACATATTGTTATCCAGACTAATAAAATATATATTGTTACATACATTAAAAAATGAAGAAAGATTACTGGATTCCCCAAAATCCCACCAACCAGAGAAAATTATAAGTTGAATAGATTGAAAACCAATGGAATAAGCATAGTGCTATTTGTGCTCCCTGTAAGTTATATGTAGATGGGTCAAGTGTAAATCAATCTATAGACTTTTCTACTTCCTTTATAGTTCACAAATCTGGAAAATAAACCCAACCCAAGATCCCTAAAGAAAATGAACAAAAAAAAGTAAAGAGAAGTATCATAAGGATTTACTTGAGAAGTATTTAGATCTACAATGAAGATGAATACAATGAAGAGCCACATGATTAGAACATGCTGGCTCCTCTATTACCCTAAAAAAATGGAACACAACCCACCAACCATACCCACTCCTTCCCTAACTTCCATTAAAGTGTTCTTGTTTTGCTGATTTGGGTAATTGGGTCCCCATTTGTGTCCTTTTTTCAGTTGCTTGATTGGTACCATTCTTTGTTTGGTTTCCGAGAAAATGACTTGGATTTGAGAAAAATCAGAGGCACAAAACCAAGTTTCTTACAGTCATATTAATTGAAGATGAAGATCCCCCAGTACCCTTAATAATCGAGTTGGTACCAGTTAAGCACTGATTTAAGAACAAACAAAAAAAACCCAGAAAAACACTTGAAACTAGAATTTCTTTTAGTACTAGTAGTGGGGTTGGGACTTGAATTGTCTGGCAATGTAGAGGAGGGCTTATCCGCCATTAATGCAACTAATTTTGTCAGTTACAAAAAAAGAATCGATTTATATACTGTGAATACACATACATATATATACAACTCGTATTTTGGTCCGCCATTGGAGAGACTCTGAAGCTCAAAGTAAAAAGAGTGAGGGAGAGAATAGGGAGTGAGTGTGATAAGTGTGTTAATATATACAATTCATAGTTTGGTTAATATATACATGTACAAAGATTACAATTGTATAACCTTTGTATGTAAGATCACAGAAATTAAACACAACCATTGAATAAAGCATTGGAAACTACTTTGATAAAACAAATCCCAAGGTTATATAGTTGTCATGGCTAAATAATCAATACAAAATAAGGAACAAGATTTGCCCATGGTTGAACCGGAATCAACCATTATTGATGAGAACTTCATGAATCTGCCTTGAAAGTTTATCTTCTCTACCTTTTTAGCCGTTCTCTATGGTTGAAGCGCCCTTTTTTTTCCTCTTTCTTTTGAGTTTGGAAACCATATATATAGTCTCCAGCACATTCAGGTCACTTAAAAGCATGAAGCATGCTTTTGGAGGTAGATCTGCACGTGCGGTGCCCAGCCTCTGCTCGAGCGGATTTGCAATATTTGTTCAAGTGGGTCTTCATAAACTCCCATTTCTTGAATTGCAGTGCCGTAATTAGCAGCGAGAGATATGGATGATGCAGTTGATCATTATGTTGTCCTGGGGCTACCATCGGGTGAAGAAGGGGCTAAGCTTTCGGAGAAAGACATTACAAAAGCATATAGAAAAATGGCATTGGAATTACACCCTGACAAGAGGCCTGATGATCAGAATGCACATGCTAACATCCAGAAGCTCAATGCATCATATGCGATTCTCAAGGATGAGAAAGCTAGGAAGTTGTTTGATGATCTCCTCCGAGTCAAACATGAGAAGGTTCACCACCAATCACAACAGGATCCCAAGCGTAGGAAGATGATGTCTGATCTTGAAAAAAGAGAACGGGATGCTTTTGCTCCCGATTTGGAAGCAAAAGCTCGACAAGAAGAAGAGAGAATTGTTAGGAAATTTAATGAAGAGGTTGCTAGAATTCGGGCAACCTTTGCCAATAAAGTTGCATCAGCGACCCCAACCCCAAGGAAGGAGACGGCTGTAAGAGGAATGGAGGGTACAAATGGTGGTGGGAGTGGGTTGGACAAGGAGAAGGTTCTTAAGGTATCGTGGGAGAAGATTGGTGAGGATTATAGTGCTCAAAAACTCAGGGAGTTGTTTGAGAAGTTTGGTGAAGTCGAAGATATTGTAATCAAGAATTCCAAGAAGAAAGGTTCTGCACTTATTATGATGGCATCTAAAGATGCAGCAGTAAGTTTGTTATAAGCTTGTTACATCTTTTGACTGCTGCTTGCAGTGGTACTCCGGATGTTGTTTTACTGTTTACACAAAATTGTTTTATTTTGCAGGTTGCTGCTATTGGAAGTGTGTTTGGGGATCTCTCAAATCCTTTGCTCGTCGTGCCTCTTGAACTAGCCAAAACTACTTTTCCAAGCACCCAAAGAAGTGTTGAACCTGATGATCCAAAGACAAGTAATCTTGTTGGCATTGGACACCAGGTGTTTGAAGATTCAGTGTTGAGTAAACTCCGAAAGGTTTGGATATGTTTAAAGAAGTATTTTCAATTCTTTTTCCACCTTAATGAATTTTGTTTTTTCCTTTAGTCAATTGCTTCGTGAATAGTTGGAACATGAGCTAAAAGTTTATTTCAGTTAAATATTTATTTGTTTTTTCTCCTTCTTCGAAAAATTGGGACATGAAATTATATTTTTGTACTGAATGATAATACACTAGAAAGTACATAATTACCTTAATCTTAACTGTGGATATGACACTTGAACAGAATCAACGAAAGAAATGGATCGTATATGCCAACCTTAAGTAATTGGGATCTTGTTGAGTTGAGTCAAGTTAAGCATTTTGGGTGATACATTATTCACATCTTGGGTTTCAGCCATTAATCTTAGTTGTTAGTATCTTACGATTAAGATGCACCATTACTTCTAAGAAGGTGGTGTGTGCGTGTTGGACATTGGCACTCATCCGACAATGAACACTTCCTGATATGTGTCAGATACTCATCCAAATATGTCCTTTTATTTAGGGCACTTAGGGTAACATGTGTCACATAAAACTAATTATAAGTTTGAACTAAATAACTTAAGATACAATGATAAAAGAAAAACAATATAGACCTATTGGAATTAGTGTTATGTCGTGCATTTTTTTAAAATTGTTGTGATGGCGTGTCTGTGTCCATCATTAATGTATCTTATGATACATATACAATAAACAATATGTGATACAACTGATATGCTCACACTTTGATTTTTTTAAAACTGAAGCAAAACGAACTTGCTAAATAGAATATCATTATAGTACAGCAGTACATTGAATTTAAAAGTAAACATTTACTTTTCTTTTTTTGGCCTTCAAAGTTGGGAATATTTCTTTTGGTATGTGTGCTGCAATCCATTGTACTTAAATTCTGATGCAAAATTTGTATTTTGTATTGAAGTGAACCATATTTTATATATACAGGCTACATATATGAATTTTAGCCTGAACTTTTGTCACGATATATGGCAACACATTATTGTGTTTCAAATATGCATTGTGCATCTTTATTGTTCTAGTCCAAGTTTGCATTCTATTCTAGATAATGGGCCAAGTTGGTTGGTTTCATTTTCGTTTATTTTCTCTTATTCTAATTATTGTTCTTTCTTCTGAGCAAGCTGCAGAGGAGCCAAAAGGAATGAGAGAAACTTTTAACATACCATTTAAAATGCAGCACGTTACTTCGAATCTTCCTGGTTTGGAGAAGAGGTAATAATGAAAAGTATTCTATTCATGTCCATACTTCAATTTCATTATAGTTTCTCTTAAACTTGCCTTCAACCATATTTGAGATTGTGAGGCAAGCACACTTGTCTTTGTTGAGGCTCTCCAGTTTGGGTTGCACCTGAACTGGGCACTATATTCCCTTGTGATGGGTAATAAAATCTTGGATCATTTTAATTTTTTCAGCCCTTTTATTTTCAAAGCTGTGTGGAATTATATACAGTATCTCGATAGTCTAACATAATTTATTCTTGAAATGCAGACTATTGTGTCTATTGTCTTTCTGGAGCCCATATTTTCGGCAGGACCCGTTGTAGCTTCGATTGTGGGAGAGCATGCCTTTGTAACTTGCCTTCTGATTTGGTGTATTTCTACCTGTAAAACCAATAATTAGTGTTAGATGTGAACTTTGTCATGCTTAGCAACCCTTCAAACTAATGAGGGGAAAAGGATTATCATAAACTTCAAACTTCTATTTGAATTTTTCCAGCACACTAGATTTTTTAGGTAAAACTCAGAGTTTGCTTCTTGAAATATAAGCGCTGAAGTAGAAGAAATATTTGAATCGTGTATGTAGCCATGTATAATGTGGTAATGTTTCAATTGAGATGATTTTTAACTTGGCAAAATCCAAGTTCTTGTTCCCTTCTATAACACTCGTTTGATGATTTTCTCATATTCTGTGTTGAAGGCATGCTAATAATGAAATATTGGAATTTGTTGATTGATTAGGGTTTCATTTAAAAAAAAGGAATATAAAGTGCTTATGTGGGTAGTATCTCTGTTCATTATTTAAAGGGTAGACGAGAAGCTATTGAGTTGCAAATGTAGGACTTCTTATTTGATGGTATTTTGGAAGGGAATGGCTATATTTGTATCGAATCCACATGCATTGCAAATGGTCTTTGTCACCTAAAAGATGTGATAGCTCATTTTTCTTCTCCATTTTTAGCTTTGTCATGGTTTGCTATCATATTGGGGAGATTGGATTCAGAAAGTAATTTGATTGGCACTTTTAGTTAGAGATAGATGACATCTGGGCAAGGAGAGAGAAATTATCAATTGGGTATGGTCAAGGAGAGAAGGAAATTATCAATTGGGTAAGCAAAATAGTAAATTGACATTCCTTTTTAAACTGCATCAATTGCATTTGGCATTTATGTACTTGAAAGGGTCAAGTGTATTTTAAAATATTGGGTAATAATAGGGATATCAAGTTTTTTACTAAATAAATAACCAAATATTTGGGGTTTGTAATTTTATGAACTCTACATCCATGTGAGATATTTAGTTACTAGTGTATGCCCGTGCCTAAAGGCACGGTGTAAATAATATTGAGATCGAAATATATTTATAATATATATGCGTATCATGTTAAAACATGTGAAGGCTGTAACATTTTTTCTTCTTAAAGAACTTTTAATAATTTTGCTTGTACCATACCCTTTACAGAATTCAATTAAAAATAACAACTCTCCCTAGTCTTAATGCAAATTAAGAAATAAACATATAAAATTTATAATGTTCACTAAAATTAAAATGGTAAACTAATGTTCTGCAATTATAATAAAATAAAATTAACCAAACAATGCACACCAGCTAATATTCTACAATTCTACAAAATTAAAATTGGATGCCAAACAATGCATGCCAGTGCTCTGCGATTCTAAAATAATTTAATTAAAACAAAACAACAAACAATGCACACCAACTAATCATCTGTAATTTAAAACCAAACAACAAACAACAAAATGCACACCGGTGCTTTCCAAATATGAACGTAAGTTCAAATAGTCATGTGGGGGTGTATTCATTCTGAAGGCCAACCTTCACTAAAGCCTTGTAAATGGTCTCATACATCATTTGCATTGTTTTGTTCTGTACAATAAATGAGAGATAATTTCAAAATCAAAAATTGATCCTTCTGAAGTATATACACTGATGGGCAGATTAATAGAATTTTTTGATTTCCCATATTAATCTAATGAAAAAAAAGGCAACAAAGTTATCCATCTCTGAAGCTGCCTTTAAAATGCAGAAACACAATGCTATGCATTGAAGTCATAATTGGTTCCTACTTGCCAAAATAAAATCCTTTGTGTAGCAGCACCTGTTGGATTGCCTTCTGGCCACATCAGAATAACAATATAAGCAGCAAACCTCTCACGTGCTCTGATTTTCTCAGCAATTTTAAGTGCAATTTCCATGGGAATCAAATTGTTCGCACCTACAGTAAGAAAATATGCTCACAATAAGTATTCAGTAAAGGAATTTCAGGCATAAAAGCTTAGGAAAACATTTATTTATTGTCATATCAAAGGCCACTTCACTCTCAACTAAAACATGATCTAGCAAATCAAAAGAACTACCTAATCTTATTAAACCGTCTACCATAAGTAAAGACACAAAAAAAATCCTCAACCAGTCTCCTTGTTTGCTACAACCAAGCAAGTTTCACTACCATCACATTGAAAGCTTATGCTGTTAGAGAAAGGAGTAACTACATCAAGATGTATGGGTAACTTCATTATATGTATCCTTAACACTCCCACTCACATGTGACCATACTCTCATTCATTAACAGATAGAACACCAGTTATCCCAAAAGCTTAAATTGTCAATAGATGAGCCCAATAATGTACGTTAACACTCAATAAATAGTGTTGAAAAAAAAGAAGCATAGTAACATATCCTCCTCCCATGGCATCCGAATCAGCCTTTTTTCTTTCATTCTTAGCTAAAACAGTAAAGCCCCAATGCAAGGGCAATTGAACCCACAATTTTTAAAAAAATATGAAGTTATCACCCCAATTAATTATTGAATAGGTCCTTAGAAAATCAATATTCTGTAAGTCACTATTGAACCTCACCTCTGAAATTCATTAGACATTCCACCATAATCTACTCCATATCCACCTTGATAAATGAGAGCTTGCTCTGCAAAAATTGGCTCATAGTTTAGCATCCAAAATAATATGCTATAGTCTAGTACTTGCAGGGAAGCAATTAATGAAGCTATGTTGCCATATTAGCGTTCAGTACATCACAATGTGTTCTAAACAGAAACATGTATTGAAACTATATAAAGCTGGCCTTTTTAAATTAAGCAGTGAATCTAATTAATTCAAATCGAATAGTCCTTGTAAATAAAACCCAGTAGCCTAATCGACTATACACTGCCCATAATCACTTCAAGTAATTGTCTATATGCCTAAACACTTCATTCGTGACTCCATTGTTTTACTAATCCTTGGTGAATGTAGCTCAAGAAAACAAATAATTTAAAACACCTCTAATAGGTCAAATTTGTAGATTGCTGCCAATTTGTTTTCTTTAGTTTTTTCTTGATTTTGATTAAAATTTAGCAGAGTGATGCTACATTACTGAGAGATTTAACTCACATGTGAGTTGCAAAATTCCTTTCTAATCCCCCTGCTTTTTCTTTTCTTTTCTTTTCTTTTGCTAGGCTAAGAAAATGCAAATTCAGGGAGGCCAAAGCTAACAGTAAATATCATATCTCTGAAAATATTAAACATAGGGATGAGATCAAAATCCAATTTGAACCATAAAACTTCCTCAACCAGTGATTTAGTAGAAACACCAAATTCAACACTTAAACTGAACATGTTTCACTGTTTAGTGAATCCTACCAAACACAACTTTCCTTTCCTAAAATGCAGCAACAAAATTCACAAATTCTGAACCACAAAACACCACCCAAAATATTTAAAAGCAAAAAATATCAAAACTTTCTTCTGGGTATTGTAGTAACCAATTGTTAAAACAAAACCCTCTACTGGGTTGCTGACATTTCAATGTAACATTCAACTGTTTGTGTGTGTGTCTGTGAGTGAGTGAATCAATTGGGGATATTATTGAATTGGATTACCATTAGGATCTGGTTCAGGTGAGCTGATCAAAGGGGCGTGAAGAGAAGGAGGGTAATATCGATCAGAAGAAGCAGTAGCAAATCGAATTTCGTCGACGCTGACTTCAGTTCCAGCCAAGGAAGCTGTTGGAATTATAGAACCAGCCCTTTCCACGAACTGATACGAACTCCATCTCTCGAAGCTCTGTTTTTCTTCTACTACATCGCTCTTCTCTGTCAATCAGAACCCAAATTTACAAATCAAAACATTGAGGAAAACCAAAATTGAAAGCCCATGAAACAGGAATTTTACCTGAGAGCAATGCCTCCTCCATTGTAGTTTCTTGTTCCATATTTCTTCGGAGAGAAAGAGAGATTGAGATTCAATTATGCAATGAAATCGTCATATAGGAGTGTATATATACTTAGTGGAGTCTGTAAGCCACTTCTGCAAACCAAATTTCATGCCAAAAGTGACTTCAACTATCTAGTTTTGAGATAATCATTAACCATGCTCAAGTCCACCAGGTATTCTTAAATTGCATCAATTTTTTCACACCATAATATCTAATATTGCATAACATAAACAAAAATGCCAGACAAAACTTTTTTAAGTTTTGGTTGACCTAAAAATAAACTATAGAATTATAACGGTGCAAACCAACCAGTTTAATCTGGGTTGGGTAGTCTTCGGTCTATAGAAGATTCTATCATTTATGCTTTCAGAAAAAGAAATATAAACATCATGATTTTTGCATGTGAGGGAATAGTTCCTTACCTATGTCTTTATGGGAGCTCCAATTGTATGAAGACCCTATGATATATTGATTTTCAATATAGATGAAATGCTGAGCAGCGCCAATAGCCTTTACATATGCATGGCTACTAATAAAATTTTTATTTTATTTTTTTTAAAATTATAGAAAAAAAAGAAGCAAAAAATCATATGCATAAGGTAACCATTCCCTTTGGAATTATACCACCGGAATTTTTATTAACATATATACATATATACATATATACATATATCTAATTGAAACAGGCCTAACTAAAGTTTTCATAATTGGTATCTTATATATATACATATATACCTGTGGGATTGCAAGGCTTGCAATGGTGAGACCAGAGATGACATCAGACCTTAGAAGATTTAGACTATAATTGGGTCCCCACTGAAAAACAGGAAAGAAAAATTGAAGACCCAGAAGCAATTTTTGACAGCATGCTTTGTTCTTGAACCTGTGAAGAGGATCATCTGGGAAGAAAATCTCAGACAGTCTGTCTCTGAGTTTCTCAAGGGGGGTTTTGTGGGGTGGCAAGCACACTGTGCAATTCCCAAAGATGATATGAATAAAATTTATTGATACAAAGAAATTTTGTTTGATAAAATTTGATATGTGCAGATTTTATTTTATAACATATCAAATGTTGATCAGAAATGATGATAAACAGAAATGAACCCAAGTCAAGGATTTCAAAGCAAACTCAATATGTTCGCAATTAGAATCTCACTTGAAAACTTTCTGCTTTCTTCGCAAGCCTTTCAAGCAAAAATCTGAAATTTCAAGCGGAAACTGGAATCATTAGATTTTATTTTTTAACATATCAAATGTTGATCAATAGATTTATACTATATAGCACAAAGAATCCCAATTGTTGTGAATTCTCTATGGTTATTTGCATTGAGATTGTTTGTTCATCCTATTGTTGCTTTAATTACTGAAAATTTAGTTAATTGTTTGTGGTTTTGACGATTTCTGCTTGTGATGTGAAGTTCGGTGATTCTCTGTAAATTCATGTAAACTATGTTTGTAAATTCATGTACACTATGTTTGTAAAATATTTTGAATATCGTTTAATTAAAACCGGCTGCTATGAAGAATGAATAATGCCCCTGCTCTCATGAGTCATACCCCCAGTTTAAGGTGAGTACACAATGAAATCTATTGAAAATTTTATTACGCATGTATAGACTGACTATGCATTTTTGTGGAGGAGTATTTGAAAAAAAATGTGACAATTGTTGCTTTTGTTTTCATTTTTATATTTATTTTTTCTAAACTCGAACAATGATCATTAGGTGAATCATTTAGTAATTTTAAAATTTGAGTAATGAGAAAGACTCAAAAACTGTGATCTAAGACTCAAATGTTGATTAAAAAAATGAACAATTCAAATCTTAATATTATTTTAGTCCGTTATTATGATAATTTGACTTGTTCATTTTTTCAAATCCTATGTACAAATTAGTTATGAGAAAAATTAGATTGATAAGATAATTATAACTACATTATTTCATCATATATATTTATCTTAAAAAAATAGACGATAAGTATAATTTTAAAAATAATCCACAATTTTTTTTTTATATAAAATCACATAATTATAATTACTAAATTAATATAATTTTGTTTATGAATAATTTACAAATAACAAATAAACAAATTAAATAATTTTATGGTATATCTATACCCCCACAAAGCCTCCAACTCACACAGTGGATTGGGAAGAATTCTCCCCTTACTATAAATAAGACAATAAAAGACTAATAAGGAGATTCAAACCGAAAAGCAAGTCCATTAAAATTATACTCACACCATACTAATAGATGCCGTTATTGTGTATCCAATTGTAACACCTATGAGATTACCATACTGAGCTATTCCACATAGCTTCACCTGGATGCCTCCTGAGAAAAACAGAAATGACCCAAATCCATGAATATTTGAAATTTCTACATTTACCCATATCATAGTTTCAACAACAATAAAACTAATCATAAAATTAATCACAAAAGATACACGGGAAAAAAATATAACTACAGATATTAAACATTGGAGCTTGTCATTGAATAATTATAAACTACTACACTTAAATTTTGCCCCTCATAATTCTAAATTGTAACTGTATTTTAGTGGTCAATTCTGTATATAAATAAAACAGTACTTCTCTTTGCATAGAAACCAATTTAAAAATCAGAGGCAATCGTTATATGATTAGTTTCTGTGTTTCTAAAAATCGGACATAATTTTCATATGATCAGTATATGTGTTTCTAGACTTTTCATTAATAAAATTATGGAATTGAAATTTGAGAGGTGGGGCTACCCCTCTATTACAGCCCATTCCATTCTATTTGCTTTTGTGTTGGAAAAATGTGAGGTGCCTTCAGATGGTGTTCCCATGTGGGTTCATGACAGACCTGTCACTGGCTAACTGATTGTCTAACTGATCCAAACACCCATGTCTTCATCCCAGATGCTTCCTCTGTGTGGTATTGCCAACGAATTTGATTTACTATCAATCTGGATTATGTAGTTTTGAAAGTAGTTTGGGACAACACTAAAAACATACCTATAAAACCCATGAAGAAAAACACCTTTACAGAGTGTTCTTTCTTTGGCCATCACATCATTCACCAAACTTTAAATTTTCCCTCAGTCACCAAGTTATATTAAATCATAATTGAAAATGGCAAAAATGAACAACAAGAGAACCAAATGTTGATCAGCAGATTTTTTGCCCCTCAATCAATGATATTTTTTCAATCAATGGCATTTTAATGGTCCTGATTTATTATGATATTTTTAGGCAAAATGGCAAGAGAAGACAACGAAGGGGAACAGAGAGAGAAGGGGAATAGAGACAGAAATCTTACATTGCACAGATGATATGAATAAACCGTGAACCATAAATGATGATAAATAGAAATGAACCCAAGTCAAGGATTTGAAAGCAAACTCAACATGGCATTTTGTAACATTCCTGTTATGGCAGTTTGTGTGTTGTTGTTGTGTTGATGCATAATCTATAATGTCTATAATGGCCATAAGTTAAGGCAGTTTGTGTGTTCCTGTTAAACTACAAAATGCCATTACAGACAGGGGCCATAAGTTGATGCAGAATCTTCATAAACAGGGGCCACATAACAGGAACACAAAAAATGTGAGCCATTATAGATCTGCAGCGTACCCCTAGCAGCCCAATACTCCAACACCTGCAAATAATTGATTGAAATCAATCCAAGATAATGTGAGCTTTGTGATAAACCAAAGGGTTTCCAAGCTAAGGCTTTACCCAAAACTTGGCATGCAAAACCAATAACTACAGCGTAAGCTACGACGATATGTTTCATGTAACCGGGTAGCAAGTGAATAGGTTTTATGAAATTTGTAAAATTTCCACTATAATCTCATGTAACCAACCAAGATCACCTTCTGAAGGATAGTATGAAGAAAGTGAAATCTAGACATTCAAATTTCATACAATTTTGTATTATATGGACATTCAAACATTTTGTATGTTTCATCTCTAACATTTTGTATTATATGGACATTCAAATTTCGTAGAACAAATTAAAATCCAAAATTGGAAAGTAAACCTTCCAGAACTTGATGATGAATCCCCATTCTGTCTCGGCAGCGACCACGAACATTGCAATCACAACCGCATAGCACTGAAATATGCCATCAAATATCTACAAATATCCACAAAACAATAAATTTACATACAAATCCAAAGGCATATATCTAGAGAGAGAGAGAGAGAGAGAGAGAGGGGATTACATACATCAGATCCATCTTTGAAGGAACGAATGGCAGAGAGAATGTTGACAGAGATGCAGAGAATGACAGCCGCAGAGGTTATGATGCTGAAGCATCGACAAACGACCAAGAAAGGATCGGGTTTGGATCTAACTCTGATAGTGGCGGAGGCGGAGACGGAGGCGGAGATGGAGGCGGTTGAAGCGCCGGAGTGTTGTTTCTCGCCCTGTGCGTTGTTTCTCGCCATTTTCTGGGACTTTCTCAGCCCCGAGAAAATTTCTTTGTAGCTCTCCCAAACACACACAGTAAAAGAAACCCTAAGCTTGAATCGAAGCCATAATATGTTAAATTTCTGTGTAGCTCTCCCAAATTTCTGTGTAGCTCTCCCAAACACACACACTCACACACAGCATCACATAATATGAAAGAGATAGGAGGAAGAGAGAGGCGTACGTGGGTAGGTGGAGAGAAGTCACGGGCGGGAGATCTAACATTGGAATTAATCTGAGCCATATATTTTAAATTTGGAATTAATTTCAGCCTTTGGATCAAAATGTATCTCTCATACATTTTATACATTTTTAAAAATTCTCTTGCCTTATTATATAGATTTGTTTGATAGAAAATTTGAGACTTATAGTATTTTCTGAAAATATTAAGGAGTAAAGTGCAAATATGCCCTAGTCAAGAGTATGAGTTCTATTTAACAATGCCAAAATCCCTCAGTTTTGGTATCTGATGAGCAAGATTAAAAACTATGGTAACGATATTAATATTTACGTATATATATGAACTACAACAAAAATTTATAAAAAAATAAAAAATAACAATAAAACATATATAAATAAGTTTATTTTTTTTATTCAAGTTGAGTTATAAAAAGTAGAAAATAGTAAAATAATCTATCTCCTAAAAAATAAAAAGTGAGGCACATATTAGTTAGGCTTGACCATCTTATGTGTTATTAAAAGTATTATGATAAAATTAGAAATTCTAAACAATAGCTTTATCAATAAATATGATTAAATAACTTGTTGAATCCTCCTCCACCATCATCTGTTTTTTCATAAGCTAATACTTATAGTTGACATTAGGTATGAGAAATTAATTTATTTTATTATTTTTATTCAAAATTATAAATTTATAAGCTAATACTTTGACGTCTATGGTTTATAGATACATGGATTAGTCTGCATAATTCAGAGATAGTTATTAATTAATACTACCACGGTAAATAAGTTATTTGAAATCATAAGGGACGATCGCTCCCTCTTGCTCTGCAGTTGAGGGGAAAGTGTTATTGTATTTTAAATTTTAATACTATGTGATTTATATAAATATAAAAAATTGAGACGTGTTATTGAAATTTACCTAAAAAATTGAGCCGCCCACATATCGCGGCGACCAATAACAATACACGGTCCTTGATTGGGTCTACAGTCATTATACGGTAGACCCGTGTCTACTTCATCCAATCCCACCAAGAAAAAAAAAAAAAAAAATCCATCCAGATCCAGATCAAAAAAAAAAAAAAATTCTCTCTCTCTCTCTCTCTCGCACATTTTGAACAGTCATTGAAACACAGCTTTCTTCCCTAAAACTTGTCTGTACTGTGTCCGAATTCTCAACCCTAGCCAAACCCTCGATCACTCTCTCTCTCTCTCTCTCTCTATACTCACTCTCCCAAAGTAGCACTGAATCCACCGGAAAACATGGCGGCGACGGCGTCGTGGCAGCCCCAGGAGGAAGGGTTTAGAGAGATCTGTGGGTTACTCGAACAACAGATATCTCCGACTTCTGATAAGTCTCAGATTTGGCAACAACTCCAGCACTACTCTCAGTATCCCGATTTCAATAACTACCTCGTTTTTATCCTCGCCCGTGCCGAGGTACGCCATCCCCCACTCTTGATTCTTCTTCGTTTTCTTGAGAAAATATCTGATTGGATTGATTTCTTGATTGGCTGTCAATTGTGTCTGAACCCTCCAAGTGTTGGTTTTTTCTTGTTAGATTCGCTTAGGTTAGTGTTCATTGGATGATGGGGTTTCTGGTTATTAGAGTGTTTCTTATTGATTGAGTAATGATGTTACTGGATTGGGTTTCTTCAATTGGCAATGCTTTCTTCCAGTTTTCTTCATGTTCACTTCAGGCCTAAGAAAACTCTATACCTATATCTATCTCTCTCTCTACATATAGATAATAGTGATATTTATACTCCACTTTTAACCTTTTCCATTGTTGTGAGAGTCTAAATGACAAAATGACAATGTGAGTGTTTGTTGGATATCGGCATTTGGAGTGTTCATGTTTCTGGTGGATATTTAATATTTGGAATATTGAATGCATCAAGCCTCTTGGAATCAGTTTTTATGTCGTTTATTTATTCTTAGCGTTCGCATTGCTTCTATAGAAGGAATCTCTTTGCATCGTTGCCTCATGCTTAGGTCTCAGGAGGCCTTGTCACCTTGGATCACTTTTCGTTTCGCCTAAAAATATTACATGGAACATAATGGTATATCTATCTATACTTATACTATGACAAAGTGAAGGCTTCCCGATGGTGTTGAAACAATGTGACATTTTCATTTCCGAAAATGCCCTTCTAGCCTATTAAAAATACAAATTTTTTAAAGAGGAGGTGGGTACTCGAACCCAAGACCTTTGGTCTAGAAAATAACATGTTTACCAATTGAGCAACACACAACATATATACTTTTAAATAAAAATCAAATTTATATTTTACAGATTTATAGGTTAACCTTTGATGTCTTTTCCTTCAAGCTCACAAACTTAAACTCTACTTACAAGTGGCTCTGACCTAGTTAGACTATTTGGATCCAATAGCTCCCCATGAAGCTCCTTGCTCCGATCTCTATACCACTGGTTCTGTTACTAACGACCAAAGATTGATATGAAAAAGTAATGTGAGTGAGGTTTTTTGCGCACAAAATGCAATCTTTGTCATATCGCTGGATCTGGCCGCTTGAGTGCTCTGTCAAAGCACATAGCAAGTGTGTTTAAAAAACTTTGATATATATTTTGATTGTAAAAAGAAAAAAACTCTGATTTTTAATGTCATTTTATTTTATCGTTGAAAAACATTCAAAGTAAAAGGAATACAAGTAAAATCTGTCTCCTAAAGATAATGCATATGCTAATGCAAGGTTATACATTTTATTTGTAACGGAGTGATTACTTTGCGTCAACCACTAACATGTCTTGAACTTGAATGGTTCTGCACCAACAAGCTGAACTCAACAACCTTTAAAATGTAATCCAAATCCGATAAATAGACTCAATATGTTTTGTCTTATGAAAATTGGCAACCTAAACTATACTCTAATATTTTCAACTATGAACATATATGCTCCTTTCTTTCTTCATCTTCAACTGCTATTGAAAAAGTCTTCTTTTTTGTTTTGTTTTTTTAAATTTTCTTTTTGGCGTAGTACCATATTCGATAGCTTGTGAGAATTGCTATGCTGTTAATTGACTACATGAATGTATACTATGTATATGCGTTTTTGCTGTTCTTCATAGTTTCGAAGAAAATTGGTACAAGAATGTTCTCACCAAGTAGAAGTTTATAGGAAACTGCATTGTTTTATATTAATTTTAGCTGTTGCCATATCCCTACATTTTCAGTTTGAAGCATGAGGTGTCATCAGCGTACCTAACGTAATATCTCCGCACTAGGTTTTGTCACATGCCTATAAAACTGTTTTGGCAGATTGATTGGCTTTTAATTTTCTATTGTCTTCTGTTTGTACTGGTCCCTTTAGTAGAAATTCAGTGTCATCCGGAATTTGCTTCATTTGGAAGTAGTTACATTGTTTTTCTTTCTTTTTGCGATGAGCCAAAAGAAAAGAACAAAGGGTAATCTACTTGTTTGCATGCCTTTTCTGCTTTTTTTTGGGGGGGGTCCTATTTTTGAAGCAAAAGTGATAATGTGTTTGGTAAATTTTTTTGATAGAAAATGGAAACAGTATTTGCTGAAAACTAAAAAGAGTTGTATTCTTGCAATATTGCATTGTCATTGAGAGTGGATTTGTGGTCGAAATAATGTTCATGATGTGGATATTGTGATGCCGCTGATTTAGGAAGAAACATAGAGTTATGCTCCAAAAAGAAGTAGCATTTTCCATTGAAAGTATTTTGCTCAGGAAGTGGAGGGGTCCCCAGATGCCAATGGGTGCTCTTTTCCAGATCTCTTGTTAGCAAAAAAGGAAAAAAAATAGAACGTAATTTTTTGTTTTGTTTTCTTAAAAACACTCCTTTGTTATCCTCATGGAATATATTTCTTAATCTTCTTCGGCTTTTCCCACTCATTTGGTTGCCCATTTTACTTCCAAAGCAAAATGACAGTTTACAATGCTAATTAGATAGCCTCTTTATTGTCAGTTACAAGAGCGTATAGGTACACTGGAAAAGTTTTTATATTTCTTCTTGTGTATGTACTAGGAATGAGTTTTTCACACTGATGATTCCTCGAATTTTGGTCTTGATTTGTTAATATTTCATTCTTGTTGTAATGAAAACTCTTGAACTTTTAAACAGGGTAAACCAGTGGAGGTTCGCCAGGCTGCTGGACTGCTACTAAAGAATAACCTTAGATCTGCCTTTAAGTCAATGTCTCCTCCATATCAGCAGTATATAAAATTGGAATTGTTGCCTTGTTTGGGAGCATCAGATAGGCAAATAAGGTCTACAGCTGGGACCATTATAAGTGTACTTATTCAGATAGGGGGAGTTTTTGGATGGCCTGAGCTGCTTCATACCCTTGTTAAGTGCTTAGATAGTAATGAATTAAATCACATGGAAGGTGCTATGGATGCTTTGTCCAAGGTATGTCCTGCTTCTGAATAATTGTTTACATGGTCCTCACGATTTTTTTTTACCTTACTTTGTTTTTATAATGGTCAATTAGAGCGAGCAATTATTATTGCTATGTAGTTCTTGTGTAGCAAAGCGTAGAATCTCACAATGGGTTAAGAGACGGGATGTATTGGAACTCCATTACTGTGGAACATGAAGATTTTGAAAAAAATAAAAGAAAACTTTTTTTATCTTCCCTTAAACTAATATGCTAGAGTTGCTTTTTTTTTTTTTACTTTTTTAATATTCCCTAAAGAATTCAATCTCTCTCATTCTAAATTATCCCCTGTTAAATGGGTGTGGGGAAATTTCCAAATGATACTATATTGTTTTCAGTTGCCTTGGGTTGTATGTCCTCGTATGACATTTGCTATTGAAAACTGACAATCAAACCATTCTAAAGTGATCAAGGCCTAGATTGTAAATTTTGTCAACATCATTAAAAACATGAATATCTAATTTTTAACCTCTTTTTGTTTGCATATATAGGTATGAGCCTCTGTTCAATTGATTAGGTCTTCATACACTATTTTGTTGTGATCTTATGCTTACTTTGAACGTTGAGGGGTTGATTGCACAGGTTCTCTTTATTCATTTGATTGCAATTTGCAATGCCATTTGTTACTAGAATTTGTTGTTTCTTTTTGTTCTAATTCGAAAACATCATTTATTGATTTTGGTTGTTATTAAGTGCCAATATGACTCTTCTACTAAGAAGCACATACACTTCTAAAAAGGTGGCGTACCCGTGTTGTGTCCGTTTCGGACACTGACACTCATCAGACACGTCCTCTCGACACGTGTCCGACACTCATCCAAATGTGTCCTAGTTTTTTAAAAAGAATTTAGACTCGGACACTTTTTAGACACTCTTTGGACACTTAGAGGACATGCGTGTCCGTTGCTCAACCACACGTGTCCATTGACTAGACACACAAAACTAATTATAAGTTTGAATAAAATAACTTAGAATAAGATGATAAAAGAAAAATAATGACAATTTATAAAAGTTAACCAAAGTGTCACAACAACATCCAAAGGTTGCCTTTGTCAACGCTACTAAGGACCGGGGTGAGCGGAATTTAGTAGAGGCTCGAAGAGGGGCTTACTAAGCGAAGGACCAAAGGCGGCTTTGCTATCCATCCTACTATACCACTGAAGGGCGGCAGGCAAAGCTGCAAGGAGATAGTGCGGCTTTCTTTGTTCTCATGGCAGAGTGAGGGGCGCTATCCATCTGCCAATAGAGCCGGCTTTTAGTGAAGATTCGCTCATATGCTGCATGAGGGGCAGCAAAAGACGGCTTTGCGAGTTAGCGGTCAAGCGGAAAAGGTCTTTCATAGCTTGATGTGGCAACAAGACTTTCGTGCCTATCCATTAGTAAGCGGGTTCCCTCGAAGCTCGGTAACTTAGCCATTTATAGTTAGCCCGGTCGGTAAGCCCGACAGCTTCCTTTCCAATTCAATGATCTGCTCCTGCAAAGATGAGTGGGCGGTCTTCAGATCCTTGCGTACAGCGTGGCATGCATCAGGCAAGTTACTCTTTTCCTCCAAGGTCTTCTAAAGTTCTTTAGCTTGAGCTACTACCTTTGCCACGATGACGTTCTTCTTCTCCAAGATCACATCCGGATCGAACTTCTTCCATTTGTCTCAAACTCAACACTTGCAATGAACAAAGGAACGACTCTACTTAGAGAATGGCGACGGATCGAAAAAGGTGGCGTATCCGTGTTGTGTCTGTATCGGACACTGTCACTCATTAGACACTCTCCCGACACATGTCCGACACTTATCCAAATGTGTCTTAGTTTTTTAAAAAAAATTTAGACTCGGACACTTTTTAAACACTCTTTGGACACTTGGAGGACATGCATGTCTATTGCTCAAACACACGTGTCTATTTACTAGACACACGAAACTAATTATAAGTTTGAATAAAATAACTTAGAATAAGATGATAAAAGAAAAATAATAGCAATTTATAAAGTTAGTGTTTTATTGTATTCATTTATTGTCTTAAAATGATATATTCATATATATGATTTATAATAAACATATAAAATTATATATTATGTGCGTATCCCCAACGTGTCTGCGTGTCCGTGTTGTGCCACGTGTCTCTGTCCGTGCTTCTTAGCTCTTCTACAAGCTGTGAGGCTAACTTTGATGTATAGCTGTGGAAAAGTATGGCTTTGAGGCTGCTTTTAATTGGGTTTTATGGCTAAATGGGTAGTAAATACATAGTGCTTAAGGGTTTGTATGGGATAACAAAAGGCTTTGAGAATGAGAGAACAAGGTTTAGGGCATGTTTTGAGGCTGTTCCCATGATAGCGAACAATGTTTTTGTAGCTTTGGGTTGTTTTACTTGCACCAGGCTGAGAGAATTAGGAAGGGAAGCGTCATGTTATGATCCCACATCTGTTAACAATAAACTTGACCGTGTGAATATAAGCCTTTTGGCACCCTTCCCTTGCAAGCCGATTTTTAAGGGTGAGTTCTATGCAAGAGGATTGTGTCATTTGGTATCAAAGCCAACCACAACATCGAGTATGGGATTATACGTAACCTATACGAGTATGGGATCGGATGGGATAACTTTGTGGTTTGAGCCTATGTTACCAGAAAACGCTAATATCCTAGCAAATTATGTATTGGTACGCATGTTCCGAAACATGGTACACTTTCATTCCAAAATGGTAAATTTAGTGATCCAAACCGATCCCAAAAGTTTTTTTTCTTTCAATATATATCCTTAAATGTTATCTTAGGAGGAAAAAATTCAAATATAATGAACTACAATTTTAGGTGGGTTAAGATTTGACAAGACAAAAACATCAAGAAATGGATCATAATGCTCATAGAAAATATTACATTTTATTGCATATCTAATAGTTAAAAAAAATTACTCGAATTACTTAAATTCTTAAGTATAATATATATAAGTCTACCCCTATCATACCACATTTTAGAGCATGTGGCGTACCGTGTTCCCGTTTTTGTTTCACGTACCGGAACGATCCACATTCCAGGTAACATAGGTTTGAGCAGCAGTGGGGGCAGCCTATAGGTTTGATTAACATACTTTAGTATTGTGTATGGGCATAGTACTATCGTGTTGAATACTAATAGGTGAGTGAAGCTGCCAAAAGGGTAAGGGCTATCATTGAGTCAGTGTCAACAGATTGGACCGTCGCGGATGTGGGTTGTGGACTATGGTGCTGGTATGTTATGATCCCACATTGGTTAACAATAAGTTTGGCCATGTGAATATAACTTGTTTGGGCATCCTCCCCTTGTAAGTCAGTTTTCTAGGATGAGTTCTACTCAAAGCGATTGTATCCATTTGTGAAAAAAAAAAAAAAAATCGAAGAAGAATCGAAGAAACAGAACAAACATAAAAAAAAAAAAAAATGAAAGAAAGGGAAGAAAAGAACCGCTTCTCTGGCCAATGGAGACGACGGTGTCCATTGCTGTCTCCAACTATGTTTTCGACAAGCTCTGATGGGAGAGAAGGATCCAGTGAGTGACAATAACACTGTATGTTTGATAAATGTTTGCTCTATTACCAAAATTGGTGTAGAAGACAATAGGGGAAAGAGAGAGAAGACCACACAAACAGGCTGCTGCCTAAAACTCTCACAATATTATTAAACCAAATCTGAATTATATAAAGCAAAACCTAATATTTAATCGCTAACAATCCTAGGAAACTAAACCTAATATTATTTGGAAATATAATCAAAATATCCTACTAATGTTTATTCATTTATATCTATCTAAAATACTAATATTAATAATCTACCAATTACATTAATTGGACAAAAGTATTCGGCCCTCACAACGGACCGTTGGGCTTCACCCTAGGCTGCCAAAGCTTATAATCGGCCTCTAGTCTAGTCAGTCAAGAGCTGCACTTTCTTGAACAGAATCCACTTTCTTAAATAGTGCTCTTCAACAGAATCCACTTTCTTGTACTGGTTATAGTATTTTCTTCTTTTTCATAAATGTTTTGTCTTTAACACATGGATGATGTGGTGTAATGCAGATTTGTGAGGATATCCCTCAAGTGCTTGATTCAGATATGCCTGGATTAACTGAGCGGCCCATCAATGTTTTCCTTCCTAGATTACTGCAGGTGTCAGAAATATTTCCTTTGTCAGAGTCGCATGGTTATAACTTCAAAGTTTGCTATAAGACTTGACCTTCTTATTTCTTTTTTGTATTTTGACATGGTTTTTTTTTCAAGCAGTTTTTTCAGTCACCACATGCCTCGTTAAGAAAGCTTTCCTTGGGTTCTGTCAATCAATACATTATGTTGATGCCCGACGTGAGTGCATCTTTTTGTTTGTTTATTTATGTACTTGCTTCAATTTATTTTTTAATAAAGAAAATCTCTGTTCACATGGGACCTAATTCAACTATTACCAGAGGGATTGATACTTATTATGAAGTTTTATTTCTTCTAGGTCTTATACATGTCCATGGATAAATATTTGCAAGGTTTGTTCATTCTTTCTAACGACCCTACTGCGGAGGTGCGGAAATTGGTAAGTTTATGCAATTGGTATCAACTATAATTGTTGTTGTTGTTACTACAATTTTTATTGTTAAAATTCTTCCTCGTGGGTTACACTGCAAGCCACTTGACAGGCATACCTTGCTTTCTTGTTTAACAATGCATTTGTATCCATTTGTCCAGGCAGGTGTGCTGATCACTTATTGCTCACTTGTTTACTTAAATGATGCTTTCCAGCAATAAAGTTAGTTGAGAATGACATGTATGATGGTTTATGAGCATTTACACTGTTTAATTTTAGAAATGAATAGAAGCGTTAGTGTACAGTATTTGTTCCTTGGGGTTGTGTTGGTGTAATGTGATTCTATCATTATTGGAGTCATTGGACACTGTTGAAATTTTATCCACTTTCATTTTTCCCCGGGGAGGGCTGGGGGTGGGAGGTGGTTGTAATTGGGGCTAGGCATTGGTTTTTGGTATTGAACTACTATGATATCTGGATTCTTGGGTTGTTTTTCATCTTTTCTACTAAAGAAACTGAATGGGTTTTTGTTCTGTAGTGGTCAACAGTTGCAACCTAAGAAGCACGAACACTTCTTAGATTGCACCTTTTGCTTCTTAGTGATTCTGCAAATTGGAATGGTTATTGAAATCTGTTTTGTTTTATGCAAGGCTTTGTCGGGATTTCATCTATTTGTTGCTTTCCTGTTTGTTAAATAGGTCTGTGCGGCATTTGTTCAGTTAATTGAAGTTCGTCCAGCCTTCATGGAGGTTTGCATTTCCTGTTGTATGGCAGTCTGAATAATGTTTCTTGCTTTGTTATAGCCTTTCTTGTACTGCTTCTTCTGGGTGTCAATAAAAAATATTGAATTAATACAATTCACTTCTTTTACATCTTACCTTCTACATTATACTATGTACTCTCGCCTCTTCCTTGTTTCTTTGTTTGTTGCTCCTGATGTGATATTTATATTATGCAGCCACATCTGAGGAATGTAATTGAATATATGTTGCAAGTCAACAAGGACCATGATGAGGAGGTTGCCCTTGAAGCCTGTGAATTTTGGTAATCCTCTTCTTTGTGAGCTCTATTTCTAAATGATTTGGGAAATGGGTAGCTGTCATTATTATTACGTGCATGACTGGTAGTTTGCTTAAGTCAACTTTTGTATTTAGAGTTGTTTCCAAAGCTGTTTTTCTAATATTGATTATGGTTCACAGGTCTGCATATTGTGAAACTCAATTACCACCTGAGAACCTAAGAGAATTCTTGCCACGTCTAATTCCAGTATAGCTCAAGCTGTCATTCTTTATTTTTTTCTGTTGCTAATCATGTTTTAACTGAGAACAATATTCAATGTTGGTGACATGTCTGCCACAATTTTCTAGGTTTTGTTGTCAAACATGGTTTATGCTGATGATGATGAGTCCCTTGTGGACGCGGAGGTTTGGTTTTCTGGGTCATCCTGTGTTTTCAAATTTTTTCTCAGTTGGCACGTGAATTCATTCTTGACCTGATATCAATATATAATTGCAGGACGATGGATCTCTACCAGATCGAGATCAGGTATAGCTTTCATTGTTGATTTTGTGGTTATTCTCCTTTAATCATCTCAAAACAGCCGTTTAGTTTATTGTATTTAAACAAATATTCTCATTGAAACCCTTCCATACAGGATCTGAAGCCTCGCTTTCATTCATCACGTTTTCATGGATCTGAGAATGCAGAAGATGATGTACGCTTTCAAGCACATTTTGTTTTCTCAGCATTTGAATGAACTATTTGAATCAATGGATGCAATTCTAATTGTTTTTTTAGAACAATGTTAGGTAATCAAGGTCATGAAATAGTATTTCTTTTACTAAATTGTTTTGAGATTTTGTAATTACAGGATGATGACATAGTGAATATTTGGAATCTACGGAAATGCAGTGCAGCTGGTCTAGATGTCCTCTCAAATGTGTTCGGAGATGAGATTTTACCAACATTGATGCCTGTAGTTCAGGTAATTATCAATTTGTAATTAAACTTAAAGTTCAATTTGCTAGGTTCCCCCAGGTAATAATTATCAGTTATGGTATTGATTTCTAGCACCATCATCTCCCAGTTGTGTTTTCTTGTACTCATCCCTATTGGCTGATGTGAAAACTACATGGTTTCATAATCTGAAAACTGCAAGTTTGGATTTACAGCCCGTAAGAGGGGTTAACTTAAGCCCATTAAATTGATTAGGTCCAATTGGAGCCCAATTAGAAAGTCCAAAATTAAAGGATCCAGACAAATTGTAGCAAAATGGGCCCAAATGAATTCTATTGAATGGACCCGCGAGAATGGCAACCAGCTGGGCCAGAGAGGCCCAACAAGATTATATTTTTGAGAAAAGTCCAACAGGCCCATCTGAGGAGGCCTAGATCATACGGGCATCCGAGAAGGTTGATCATTGCTCTCAAAAGAGATGAAATCCTCGGAGGAGATCTATTCTCCGAGGTATTTGCTTAATCTCGAAAGGGCTCGGAACCACGAACCTAGAGACCTATTTGAGTTCGAACTCGAAAGGATTCGGATTCACGAACCTAGAGATCCGAAGCGTTTGACTTCGAACGGATTCGAACGCAATCTAAAAGTCGCTCCGTTAATGAGTCTCAGAACACTTGTGGGCTCGGATCTTTCCGGGATTCACGCACCAGAACTATGGGCGTGACGGAGTTGGAACAAAGGACCCGATCCCGAGGACGGTGAGTGGAGATGCATTCACTCTTCGGTTAAACTAGCCTATACCCGGTCGAGGTGACACGATATAAGGGATCCCTGAGACTCAACAATATTTGCGGTAGGGTGTTCTCTTGAACTACCCCTAACCTTTCTGCGGTAGGGCATCTTCTGGGACTACCCTCGACTCTTTGGGATGATTGTGGATTATTGGTTAGGCGTGGCTAAGAAGAAGGGTTCGGCAAGAGATTGATCTTCTCTTCAGGATTTTTCTCATCCTCGGAGAGGTCACATTTTCGGACAAAGTGGTTCGAGAGAATATTCCCCGTGTGCCTTGCACATGGGCTCTATCTTATATCATGAGGTGCCTATAAATAGCACCTATCCATAGTTTTATAAGGGATGGATTTTGGAGAAACAATTTTTGAAAGAGAACTAATTTCCCTTCTCCATTATCTACCTTGAGACTGAAAGTGGAAGATTTATGGGAAAGCCTTACCATTATTCTCTCTCTAACTATTTTGCCCTCTTCTTCACCCAATTTCTTATCTTCATCATCTCTTTGCTATTGTGTTTCTAGTTGCACCATTGAAGCATCTAAGCCTCTCATCATTTCTAGAAGATTCGAAATTTCCGATGACATTCGAATTTTCCGGTGGACGTTCAAAGATTCCGCCAACTTTTCCGGCGTTCTTTGAATTTTCCGGCGATCTTCCCGGACCCTCTCATATACAGCCAACATATTTACTACTCATAATGTCTGGCGCTCTTTCAAAATTTTAGTTTGCAAACCTGCTCCTACAGTCCAACTTAAAGTCAATGGGAGTGCTGGGTCTGGTTAGTATCAACTATCAAGATACAAGATATCATAAGAGGATTTTACATGTGTGATAGATGCAGATTATTCAGATTAATTAGTTGGAAAAAATTGAGAACGACATGGTGTTTTTGGGTTGATTTGAGTTGAAGGTGTTTGTAGTAAACAATCTTGAATTTAGTATGTAGATATGAATCCGAACAGTGAATTAATATATATCTGAATGATCCCAACAGTGTCAGTATCAACTGTAATTTGTTGTTCTAATACTCAAACGCTGGTTATTTGAAGGGATGTGAAGGGAAGCTAGCTTCCTATTTTACTATGGAATGGAACATATGGACAATTTTTTTGTTTTTCCCGGATCATCATCATTTTTTTTATTTATAGATTTGTTATAAGATCACATAAAAGTACAAATAAAAAGTAAGCACTGTTGCTCTTTTTCGTTGGATAGATGTGTACTGATCAGGAATTAAACAGATATTAATGTGATTCAGTTTTGTTGATTGCTATGCCAGCTGTGTACTTGTGGTTGAAATAGTTATTTCTTTATCTTGGATGATGGTTTTGAATATTTATTGTCATTTTTCGAGTCTCTGCAGGCTAAATTATCCACTAACGATGATGAAACCTGGAAAGAAAGGGAAGCTGCAGTTTTAGCTCTTGGTGCTATAGCAGAGGGTTGCATCAGTGGTCTTTATCCACATTTATCGGAGGTAATCTTGATCTTTTAGTTAGATGTTTATTCACTTACTTTTGGAGGTGGCAATCCATGTGTTAAACAGTTGGGTGCAAACACAATGTGTCTTCTGGTTTCAGTCACATAGTGTCCTTTTCTTCTTTGAATATATAAAATGGGGTTTTCTAGATGCTTATGGTCTTCAGAGAAGCCATAGTTATTCCGGAATTATTTCTGTATATCTTGGACTGAAATACAGGTACCCTGTTTACAGTCAAGTTAGGAAAGCAAAGTGGCACGATTTCCAAAACTGTCAGCCCACTTGAGCGGCCTTTTAGTGCTTTTTGAGCACAGCCCTCTGGACAACTTGGGAGCCAAATTGTTACCACCCGCACGAAGGCACTTCGATTGGGAGCCGTAGGACTTGGGAGTTTTTCTTTTGTAACCCTCGTGGTCCGCTGAGCAGGTCTCAAATGCACTTCAAGCAGGGCCCTTGATTTTGACCAATCAATTCTGTTTTCAACAATTTAAAGATACTGACTCTACAGGACTAAGTATAGGTCTTCCTAGGTCAATATTATGACATTGAAACATGTTTCCTAGGCTAATGCAGTATGCTTAGGCAGTTATACTTGAGATTATCAGAGCATGCTCTGTGTTGTCTTTGAAGATCTTTAATCTTCATTACTTGGACACTTTAACCTATACATCTAACCTAGACACCTAGCACATGTTTTGTCTTCCTAAATTCTCCATCAACTAAATCCAATAACACAGTTTATGGGCTTTGTATCCTCCTATTTGCAGTTAATCTTATTTATGTATGCATTTGTGAATATTTACTTGTTTGGTGCTTCTTAGTTTATTGATGTTATTGTAACTGAAATATCAGTTGTTCCTGTTGCTTAAGAATCTAGCCTTTTTTTGGTTGCAATTGATGTGTATTGTGGTGCTTAATGTATTGCATTTGTCCTGTTGTGTACTCTAATATATTCTATTACTGGCAACAATAATACTACGGTGACCAAATTTTGTTACCATATCATGTTTCACCAGTGCATCTGTTTAATGAGTCCTACTTTTCATGTCTTACACTGACGTATTGGTGACACATTTGATGGGATCCAAAATTCGGTACTCAAACTTGGTCACCATAGCACTATTGTATTGTCTTTCATTTAAGATTCTAATTAACATTTAAAAATCACACGCAGATTGTTGCATTTCTTATTCCACTTTTGGATGATAAGTTTCCTTTGATACGAAGTATCTCCTGTTGGACAGTTTCTCGATTCAGCAAGTTCATTGTTCAGGTATGAGTACATTGTATCTCCAAGCACATTTTCATTCTTTCTGATTCATTCCAAGTGTTTATGATTGATGTATTTCAGTTAAAAGACCTGAAGTAGTATTTCTTTATGTAAAAATAGCACTTTGTCATGGTTGTTGCACTTACAAATGATTTATAATTTGTTTTTGAAATATGTTACAGTATGAATAATTGAGAAACTCCTTGAAAGGAAGATTAATGATTCACACACAGATTAATTAATGGGGAATGCCCTGAATAAGGCCAACAAGTGACTAATAATCCTGCTATACAGAAAGAAGTTGCTATCATGCATCAGTTTTAACGAGCCTTCTTCCACTTCCAAATCAACATCATTGCTAACATCCTACCATAAAACTCCATGGCTTCCTTGACCACAAAATCCTGGAAATCCCATGCTATTAATAGCCACCCCCTGCATCAAACTTGGGCACACTATCACTGCTGGGCTGCCTCACCTAGAAAATCCCACTTCCAGAAACCTTCCTCTCTTATTAGTTTGGCTTCCATCGACCCCTTCGGATTTGCCTTCATCCCACTTTGATGATGCTTCCATGAGCCAATTACTGACCCAACGAACCTCCTTCTTTGTCAACATTAAAAATCATTTGATTTCATTGCTCCTTTCAATAAGAGAGAAATTTAGCCTTAGATTTGTTTCCTCAGCACACAAACCGAAAGATTTCCAGCCTAGTTGTACAAAATTGTACATCATCACCTTGAGACTGAAGCCATGCAAGCCTGGAAGCATCGCCTGTGATCTTGATTCAAACCTATTTGTTTTCCTTGAGTTTGTCTCCTGGTACTTAATAACTAAAGTGAGGAGGGTGCAGTTATCTACATTTTTTTACATTACTTGTAGCCAGCAGGCCCAACACTATTAGCTGCAAGTAACACAATTTGAAGTGCATATTTTGTAGTCTGGTTCCTATGTGGGTCTAACTCTAAAGTTTCTTCCTATTGTCTATGGTCTATACACTTTCAAGTATCCTTGAGTTGGATTGAATGTGTCAGAATTATTTCTGAAGTCAGTTTTTTGTTTGGGCATCTTTTCCAGGGTATTGGTCATCAAGAACGCCGTGAGCAATTTGATAAGGTTTTGATGGGGCTTCTAAGAAGAATATTGGATAATAACAAGCGTGTGCAAGAGGCTGCTTGTTCAGCTTTTGCAACTCTTGAAGAGGTTCTTACTGAAAATGGAGCTTAGAGATTGGATTTCTGCATTTTAAATTCTAATAGTGGTTATTTGCAGGAAGCTGCTGAAGAGTTGGCGCCACGCTTGGAAGTTATTCTACAGCACTTAATGTGTGCTTTTGGAAAATATCAGGTTGCTTGTGGTACTCCTTATGTTTACTGAACTCATCTTGATTCATCATTATGTAACAATTGTTTACATACTGATTAATCACATGTATTATTATTGGTGTTGTTTTTGTTTTTTCTTTGTACGTATGATCTCTTCTTATTCTCTCCCCATCTTTCTCACTAGCCTACTTTTTATACGTGATTATATCTAGAGGCGGAACCTCAGAATTGTATATGATGCTATTGGAACTCTAGCTGATGCTGTTGGAGGGGAACTAAATCAGGTACGGTCTATTATGCTTAGTACTTCTTGTATGCATGTCACATGGAGTCAATTGTGTGCATTTTACCATAACCCTGCCTATCAATTTAATAGCTTCATGTGTGTGCATGTGTTTTATCCCATATCTTATATGGATGTTGCATACATGCATATGCTCTTCTTTCCAGACATGTCTATAAGTCTGGGGTTGTACAGAAACCTTATTGCATGCTGCATTTTTGTTAATAATGTAGTCTTGCTGATTCTTTGTCATGATGATTTGCAGCCGACGTATCTTGATATTATGATGCCGCCATTAATTGCGAAGTGGCAACAACTTCCAAATTCTGATAAAGACCTTTTTCCACTATTGGAGTGCTTTACATCAATTGCCCAGGTACGTGTATTGTTGTACTGAGTCTATGTTTTGGTTATTCAAGATATTTTGATATCTGGTTTAAATTAGTAGATATTTTCTCTCAGAATTAATCTGGTTGCTTTAGGAGAAATATACAGTTAAAGGTTTGGCAAGCTTTTAAATCAAGTATTAGCCAAGATATATCGATTTTGAACCTGTGCCTGAAGTGGTATCTTCATTGTACAAATCAATGAAGTGTAAAGCACTAAGTAGTTGGCAAACCAGTAGGTAATAAATGTCCTGTATATGAGATTTAATGATTTTGAGACACTGGGTTCATTGAGGGCCTGCAAGCAGCAAAATGATGAGAACAATTCTTCCATGTGGTGAGAAAGGACATGAACCCGGAAGTTTTTCTGTGTTCAATATAATAGAAATGCGTAGTTCTCCTTATTCCTTGATAGATCAATGAGCTTTGATTTGAGAATATTGTATAAAATATATATGAAAATTGGCATTTTTTTAGATGGATTATATATTGATATCATGGTTATCAAAATCATGATCTAGGTTGTACTAGATTGCCCAAATGATCCAAACCGGTATAAAATCAGTATTGTAACAGAAGTGCAAGTAGGATCCTATAGGATCACAAGTATTTATCCAAAAAAAAAATAATATATAGGATCACAAGTAGGATTGTTGGATTGGTGATTTTTCACCTTATTTTAATATTCATCATCATTATTGGTGACTTTTCAGTTTAGTTTGAGAAGCACAATTCTTCAATAGTTCCTTTGGATTCATATATTTTTAAGATGCAGTGAGTTGTTTTTTTAAGCTGTCTTAATATCTCTTAAGTATCTTGTGTTGTAGCTGCTCTAGTTATTTTTTACTGCACCATTACTTGTGCTTGTACTGTTCCTTATCTTTCAGGTCTGTGATCAGCAAAAAAAGCTTTATTTCATAGACACAATATCTAGGAATTATGCTAAAATAGTAATAAGTGGTAGAATAATGTGTTTTATACTTTCTTTCAGGCATTGGGTACCGGATTTTCGCAGTTTGCCCAGCCTGTATTCCAGAGGTGCATAAACATCATCCAGTCTCAACAATTGGCAAAGGTTTCAATAAATTTGATTGTTTTATGAATCAGTTTTACAATTTTACATCATTGAATATTATCATAGTTGTTCTTTGTTTGAAGATTTGCTCTATTCAATGTTTTTGTCCGTGTGTAATGGCATTTGCAATTTCAGTCATTATTTTATGCTTAAATGTTCTTATGCCCTTGTGTTTTAGCCTTTTGGACAATGTTACTTGTAGAGTAAGGTGGACATGTTTCCTTGACGGGTTGTACATATTCTAGGCAGAAAGAAAACATTGTTATCTGGAATCTTGAAGGCATAGTGTCTTATCTATCAAATTATAAGTTTATGTGCATGGAACTTGCTTTCACTGTGTAGTAATGAATTATAAAGAGCTTTTTCCTTTACCATCCTTTTTTTTTTTTTTTTTTTCCTGATAAGTAAAATTAAATATATTAAATGAGCTTTCTTTCTCTTCCTATCAATGGTGATGGGCTACAAAATGAGGGGTAGCACACTCCTTCCCCATGAAATCTTAACTTGGATGAAGGCAGGAATCAATCCCAGATCTCTGATACCAGGCCACCAGACTTTACCAACCAAGCTGGCTGGAAATTTACCATATTGGTGTCAAGTTAACCATCAAGCAAGCACGTTTGAGGTTTTGGTACCCCCCCTTCTCTCTCTCTCTCACAGCCCAACCCTTCCAAAATCCCTTAAATAGTAGTGTTGACTTCAAAGTGAGTATCTGTGACATTTTATATGAAAATGGAGAGAAAACAACAGACAGCATTGTCACTAATGATGAAACGTCTATGTTTGTGCAGTGCTCATGATATGTTATTTACTCAACATGTTGAATTGATAAATGTAGGCTATGTGCAAACATCAAGCTAAATTGTGGTAGATGCTTAATTTTGAATTTTTTGGATAATATGTACATGCTAGACATCCTTGCAAATATGTAAAATTTTGGCATAATCAGATGCTCCCTAAAAAAATTTAGGTCACATTCTTGGCATCAATCTTCAGTCATCTACTGTCCATATCAGATAGTGCTGAAAAGTAGGAAATTTTGGGTTGGACAAGGCCTTATATATCTGCGATATAGAAGTATATCCTTAATTTGACAAAACAAACCTTACGTAGTACTATAGTAGAGATTACGATGGGGCCTGATTTGTTGTGTCATTCTCCTATCCTATCCAAGCAATAAAATTATAGTCTTGTGTGATGTTTAATTTTAATGTACTAGCAAACTCATCATATTAAGGTTTCTTGTTTGCTTTCGTGTTTAATGTGTCATGGTCAGTTAATCTAGGGATAGATAACAGAGAAGCTCTATTTTGACACTTTTTTTTCTTGTACTGGAATATTCAAGTCATCCTCCTGATGTTACAATATTTATATTTTAATGACAAACAGGAAAGAATATTTTGAAACTGTTATGTGGATGTTGCTGTTATCACTTATATTTTGCATTTCTCTAAATAGCATTATATCCATATTTGTTGTTGAGAGACCACTTTGCTTGAGCTAGGGCTCTGTATCACGTTTGTGTTTTTTTGTTTTGTTTTGTTTTGAGTTGCGAGGGAAATTGATGAAAAATTTATGAATAATTTGCCACAAAAATGTAGCATAATCAATCAATTTCTAACAAAATCCTGTGTATATTGTGATGCATCCATTTGTTTTTCTGGCAATTATTATTCTCTTGCACGATAAAAATGTATCATAATGTTCATTTTTTGTATTGATAGTTTTCTACAAAAATGTTCCCATAATTTCAATCAGTATTGTTAAGTCACCAATTCTCCCAGAATCCTAAGCTGTTAGGAAATGGGCCCAACAATTTATATCAAGCTATCTAACAAGTATATCTATCAAAATTCTGTGTGTATATATATTGTGATACATCCATCTGCTCTTGGGACAATTATTATTCTCTTGCATATAAAATATGGGCTCCATTCTAAGTTATTTGAGTTAACTCTAAAACTAGGCATGAAAACCTCTATTATGATACCACGTGAACACCATTTTACCCTTTGAAATAAAACAAGTTTATTAAGATATATGAATATTATTTCGTGTCCCCGTGTCCTTGGACATGACATGAGAATTAGATGAATCAGGCATTTAGATGCACACACTAGATACCCATACCTGAGTTCATAGAACATAGGCTCCTTTGATCTTCACTCGTGGCATTGTTAATAAATTCTGCAGTTTGCTTTGCTGGTTGCATTCCTTATCTTGGTTCACGAACACATTTTTTCCCTCTGAAATTTGGATTCTTATACTGTGAGCATCATTTACGTATTGATTGACACTGTGGCTGCAGGTCGATCCTGTTTCAGCTGGGGTTCAGTATGATAAAGAATTCATTGTGTGCTCTTTGGACTTGCTCTCTGGACTTGCTGAAGGTCTTGGTAGTGGGATAGAGAGTTTGGTATTCCCCCTTCTCTAATTCTCTCTCTCTCTCTCTCTCTCTCTCTCTTGCAATATGTTTTTAGTTTTTGCTAAATGATGCTCCATGAAAATGAAATGATGCAAATAAATTCTGGGCGATGGTCATTTATATATTGTTGCACTGTTGTTTATTTGTTTTTTACATTCTCATTTATTGTGTCAGGAAAAGACAAACCTATTGTCCCTAGATTATAGTAAATCTGTCCATGTGTTCATAATTTTATCTTCATAGACTGTCATTATGGAGGAGTCTGTTGCGTTGCATGTGCTGTGGATGTACCCTGTGCATTAAAATTTGTTGGCCAGACATAGCCTTGTTTCAACGGACTATTGACTATTATGTCTTTTATATTAATTATCCTGTCCGTGTTCTGTCGTGAATCATTCTACAGGTTTCACAAAGTAGTTTGAGGGATTTGCTTCTTCAATGTTGCATGGATGATGCTCCTGATGTCCGACAAAGTGCCTTTGCATTGCTTGGTGACCTTGCAAGAGTGAGTCAAAAGTGTTTATATACTATACTGTATGACTTTCTCTTGGTCTAAACAATAGGAAAGCATTCTTGCCTCTATCATTAGCTCATGTAGTCCCTGTTTTTGGGGGTTGCAATTTGAGACTTGTAGGCTACTAGATATGATTGGGCCGTAGGGCCAGTTGGTGCCTCTGGAAGCTCATGCTCAATTTTTTTTTTCTTTTCATGTTTATACACATATTTATGTTGCTTTTTATTGACAATGAATACTAATGGCCTTCGTTGTATTTCATTAGGTTTGTCCTATTCATTTGCACCCGCGTTTGTCCGAATTTCTTGATGTTGCCAGTAAGCAGCTGGTAAGTAGAATGGATTTCTGATTTCTGATTTCTGAGATCCGTTCTGATAGTCTTATTATTTCATAGATTTACTTATACAAGCTTTCTACAGAGCATCCCTAAGCTGAAGGAAACTATTTCTGTGGCAAACAACGCATGTTGGGCAATTGGAGAATTAGCGGTTAAGGTAGTTTCACCTCTCTATTTGCATCAGAATGAATCTAGATAATATTGCATTTTCATGCACCATTCTCTGTTCTTGAACTAGCAAATTCTGGCTTAAAACAATTGTGACTCACATTGAAGTGTGGGTTCTTTTTATGACTTCCAATTTTGCATGGTTCTCAATTTTTTGGCATAATTCTGATTTCTGATTTTATCTTTATGCTCCATATCATTTTGTGTATTGACTGGAAAAACATCATTAATGTTCATTCTGTTTTAAAATGAGGAAAATTATTAATCCATGACCCTAAAACAAGATGTCAAAGGTGTTTGTCTTCATAGTTTATGTGGGTATGTTGATCTTCTTGATTTTGCGCTTGAATATATAAAAAATATGTAACATGAAGAATGATCCTGTTGTTTAGCAGGTGCAACTTAATTGAAAAAAAGGCAAGGTCTAGTTGCTTTGTACATGCTACATGTCCTAAAACTGAGTGGGATGTAAATCCATGAGCCTGGACATGATCCTTTTCCACATGCCATACATCTGAAAGTTCTGCCAACTTTATAGTTCATTTTTAGAATGCCAATTAAATTTGCTTCAAGCAGCTTCTTGACATGGTGAAAGTTGTCTTATCCAGACAATAAAGCTACATATGCATTTCACTTCTGATACTCTTATTACAGTCTTTGATGCTTGGAAATGTTATGTGGTTCACTAATTGTTTGCAGGAATGACAGTATTCTTTGCCAAAAAATATAGTGAATTGTACAAGTAAAATTTGATGATCAGAGAGCTTATTTATTTATGTGTGTATGTTTATTCTTTTTAAAATCTATCTGCTGTCTACTTACATTTGACACCCATTTTGATACCTCCCTTTTTTTTTTAAAAAAAAATTATTTTTATTTTTTCCCCTTTTCCTATGTCCATATATCTTATGGAGTCAATTGTCTGGACAAATAAATTTCAAAATGTTAAATTATTCTATGTTTTGGCATTGCTGGCTAGCTTAACTGGTAAAGTCTCTTGGCAGTTGTACTAAAGACCTAGTTTGAATGATGCCTTCATCTGGGTTGGGGAGGTCTACCGAAAAAAGGAAAAAAATAGTGCAGTGACCATGTTCAATCTATGTATTTTACATGCTAACATGAGTTGTGTTGAGGTTTCATTTGATTGCTAATCATCTCATTTCTTTCATGTCTATGTTTATTGTTTGGGGCATGTGTTTCTTGTTGGTTTCCTTTTTGAATCAATAGTAAATGGGGTGCACAAATTTATCAACAATGCCCTTTCATAGACTAGAAGTATTTTGCCATTTTGTAAACTAATAATTTCAGGTTCGTCAAGAAATTTCTCCAATAGTGATGACAGTCATTTCTTGCTTGATCCCGATTCTTCAACATGCTGAGGTGATTGTTTCTTTGCTGTTTTCCAGTCATGCATGTGTATGCATGCACACTTGTGGGCATGGGTGTATGTTTCGGACTGTTATCTCTAATTAATTACATTTCTTGATGCTGAGCAGGAGCTCAATAAGTCACTTATAGAAAATAGTGCTATAACGCTTGGTCGAGTTGCCTGGGTTTGTCCAGAGGTTGTATCACCACACATGGAGCATTTCATGCAATCATGGTGTATTGCTTTATCTATGTAAGCTCTTGTTTTCTTTTTCACCACTCCCCATTGAAAGACTTCTTGATGTTACTATTTGCAAGTACCTGGAAAATGGTGGTATGGGCATGCTTTGTGTCATCTTAATATTACTAATTCTCATTTAGTGACAGAAGCCGGAGATAGGATTGATGTAATTAGTGTTGGGAGCATTTAGGTTTTCTTTATTATATAGATTACTATTAAATCTGAATTCTCTTCTACATTAGTTATTTGTTGGTTTCAGACACTTGCCAAGTGTAAGCGTTTCTACATCACTATCAGTCTACTTGCAGCCTTATGTCATTTGCAAATTGTGGCAGGATACGTGATGATATTGAGAAGGAGGATGCCTTCCGAGGCCTATGTGCCATGGTATGCCTATACTTTCTTCATCTTCCAATTAAACTGAGATTAGAAATGTAATCCTAGTTTGGTGTGCAATTGTTTGCAGGTTAGAGCAAACCCATCAGGGGCTTTGAGTTCACTTGTTTTCATGTGCAAAGCTATTGCAAGTTGGCATGTAAGAATGGCATTATTCCTGAATTAATTTTTTTAAGTAGAAAATAAAAACAATGAGTTCACTTGTTTTCACTGTTTATGATTTTTTTATTTTCTTTATTTTAATACAGGAAATAAGGAGCGAAGAACTACACAATGAAGTTTGCCAGGTGTTGCATGGTTATAAACAGGTCAGTGGTGTTTTGGTTCTCTGTCATGCTACTTTGATTTCTATTTAAATATTTTTTTTGGAACTTTATGCCTAATTTTTTTTTCTTTCATGGGGGTTGTATAACTCTCAGAATAGAATCAGAAAACCAATGGTTGCATTGCATGGTGAATGATGTACTTGTTTTTATTTGCAGTTACAAAATTAGAAATTGGACATAGATAACAAATAACTGATGTAATAAATGTATAAAATAATTATCTTTACAGATGCTTAGGGATGGTGCGTGGGACCAGTGCATGTCTGCTTTGGAGACCCCGGTGAAAGACAAGTTGTCAAAGTATCAAGTATGAATATTTTCCTCATAAGAGAGTTGTCTTCCGTACTGGTGCCCTGTCTTCGCCATGCTGCCAGAGTTGTGTACCTGCTTGTGTTGTTGACATTTTGTGCGTTGTTTAATTTTGAGCGAGAAGACCAAACGGCTTGGTGATGTTTTTCCTAGCACAGGCCGAATTATTCCCTAGTTTTCATTGAAGCTTGAAGCTAATTTATTGTAATCTTCAAGGCTGCCCATGGATTGACTGTCACAACGACATTTGGTTTGGACTGAAGGTCGAAACTGATGATTGCAACTTAGATATGGTGTACAGGGGTGTGATTTTTCTAGCATTTTCCGTGAGTTTTTTTCCCTTATCCAGGTTTTGAATTTAAAAAGAGTTTACTACATCTCATTCAAGATCTAGATTTATATTTTTCCCAGCTTGGTCAGAGTCTTGTATACACCTTATTGGCAAATAGATTCCAGTCTGTGATTTCCATAGATTTTGTTGAAGAGGTCAAAATGTTGATTATTATAATTTGTTTTTCTTCATATTTCACATTTGGGCATGGGGATCGTTATTGCCATTTGGAGGTGGAGCGGAATTATTGTTGTTGCTGTAGGATTTGGTTGGTGGAACCTCAGGTTCCATGATTTTATAGAAATTGTGGTCAGCTAAGGTCAATAGTCAGAACAAACTGCATTGTGTCCTTTTTGTTGTATTATTTTTCCATTTTAACTCTATTCCGAGTTTATTCTTTGTTTAGTACATCTCGTTTAGTTATGAAGGTACTTGTGATGAGGCAATGCTGAGTGGAATATTTTTTGGCAGCTTTCTGCGTGTGTATTATAAGACTTCGTTTCATGATGCTGCCTGTTGGTTACTTGGTTGTGTATTTGGAACAAGTTTATTTCATAATGCTGGCTTTGGCTGTGGGTTTGGTTGTGTCGAGTGTAATGTGTTTTATGTTTTTATTTTCCAAAGAACACATCACTTATTGTGTTTGATGGTCCTCTGTGTACGCATGAGAGGATACATGATCAAAATATGACACAAACTAAACAAAAGATACAGAGTTAATGACCCATTTGGCCCCTACATAATACCCTTGTTTTAAAATGGGCCTTGAATTTAATTTTTTTCTCAATTTAGTGTCTCAACTTTTTAAATCTAATACTTATGACTGTTCCCATTTATACTTTAATTGATAACAAGACAAATATTTCAAAGAATTGCATTTGGCTGCAAAACTAGTCCTCTCAAGGCCCCATCGACCAAAAAAAAAAAAAAAAAAAAAAACCCTTTTCAAGGGAATGAGTTTGATGCTGGTTAAAAAGTTGAGGGATTAAATTAAGATAAAATGAATTGCAGGGACCATTTTAAAACAGAGGGAACGGTTTAAGGGCCATATGAATCATTAACTCAAATAAATATATACTAGAAAGAGGAAGCCAAGCAATGAAAAGTATGAAACAACAAAGAATCACTGTGCTACCAAGCTAACAGCATTCATTCATAATCACAAATAAATGCAGGAAATACTAAAGCATTGCTTCTTTCTTTTCTTTTTTTTTTTTTTAAAAAAAAAAATTTCACAAAACCATTGTCATAGATAGAGAAACAACTTTAATCAGTCCATGGAACATTTCCTGCAACTGTTTACTCACTCAGAAGCTATGGTCGCTCTCTGAAAACCACCTCTAACAAAATGTTTTGTTTTTTTGGGATGCCAATGAGATTTAACCAAGAGTTATGCTCAGACTGCCAATGGGGCAAGCTACGAACTGCATCTGGAAGTATTGAGCTTGACCATATACTATCAACCAGGGATTTCATCACTGCTTGTTATGGGGTCTTACGCAGAAGCAAGGCCAACGGGCAACAGAGGGAAGAGTCAACTGAGTCGAGTGCAACTATAAGAAGTGCCACGAGGAGAGTGAGAGAAGCTGTCTTCAGCTGCACACACACACACACAGAGATCAGAAATGCATGAGAAATAGAAGCACATGCATGTTAAAAGCAGCAAAGATAATGAACTAATTTTTATTTTATTTTATTTTGGCATATTTGCTATCATGCATCTGATTGTAGCCAGCATCCTAAAACCTATTTGTTGACATGTATAAGAGAACGGACATGCCAACTACAATCAGCAAATACCCTTATTTTATTTGTTTTAACTCATCCATGTATACATGTTTATAAGAGTCACAGTTCAGAAGGGTATTCAATTCACACGAGTCGAATAAGTAACAGAAAGTAGAGCAAGAATTCTAGACAGTAGGAACTAACCTTGTTATGGAAACTTGGCTACTCTATGTACTTCAGCTGGCTAGGCTGCTCATGGAGGAAGGTAGATAAAGATTACAAAGCCCTGAAAAAAAGATCATCAATCACTTCATACAAGCTAATCTTCTCCATCCTATATAAATGTCGACAACACTGCTCCTATTGGCTGCCGCCGACATGTAAATTTGAGGTAACTCAACATGATTGATTTATTGCAAGTACAATACCACAAAGCTTCCTTTATAGGAGTTAACCAAATGGGCTCTTCAAGGAAGTCATCGCCAAAGCTCAATTCATGATGATTTCTTCTTGTGGATGTAGTATATCTGGTGCAGAAACTTGGGGCAAGAAAATAATGAATCTTTGCTCTAGGAATCTGACAAATATTTACAAGTAAATAATCTTCAAAATCAACATATGAGTCAACATATACCAATTAAAATCAGAAAGAAAAAAACAAAAGAAATACTTAATAAGTTACCCTTTCAGAAGTAAGTTGAGTGACTTCGTAAGTTACTCTTTTTGAAACCAGTTGAATGACATTGTAATCTCTAGGTGTGCTTCTGTTATATTTCTGAATCTGGAATGGTAGTTTAGGATCGACTAAGCCTATCAATAATAACAAAACAAATACTAAGTGCCAAAAGAATAAAAAATAAAGACATAGTCACAGATAAATAGAGGTCAGGAGGACCTGCACAACCTACCGTCAACCCAGAATTGATTTGCATCTTATACGAATGTTAACTCAAACCTATTGACAACAACAAAAGAAACAAATTACTGAAAAAGAAACAAAAAAAAAGGGCAGAAATGAACGGGGAAAAGAATACTGATAAGATTATTGGGACTTAAGAGTCATTTCAAGCACAATTCAATAGTAACAGACATAGTGGTAAAAGCTATGAGGAATGATGAGGTGCCATAATGTGACACGACAATAACAATAGAAGTAAACGCTTTGCTAGTGAATTCGAGTGATATATATTAAAAATTTCTGCGAAGACAAATCAAAAACTAATATACGCAAAACCCATATATGTTTGTAAATTATTGGTCAATTATCAAGAAACGATAAGAAAAAGGCTTCCCTTAGTGGAATAGTGAAGGGAATATCAAATGGCAATCAATTCGTTACAGGAAGGAAATGTTTTGATGCCATTACATACCTTCACCACTATGATGCAAAAGTAGTTAGATACTCTTGCACATCTATTTTAATTCAGATAACTGTTGCTACCTAATTGAGACATTGATCAAGGGTGCATCAGTTGGTTCAAATGATCTAACTATTACTCACCTATAATTTGCTGATGACACAATCTTGTTTTGTGAGGCAAAAAGGGAGAAGGTGCTAAATATCAAAAGAATATTGCGATGTTTTGAAATCTTGTCTGGGTTGAAGATAAATTATCACAAGAGTGTAGTGTGTGGTGTTGGAATTAATGAAGAACTTTCCAAAGATTTTGCTGCCATACTGAACTACTTGCATCATAGACTACATATGAAGTATTTAGGGATGCCATTGGGGGCTAATCCCAGGAGGAGAAGGTCTTGGCAACCTGTCATTGATAATTTCAACTCAAAACTTGCTTCTTGGAAGCGTAGACTGCTTTCCTTTGCTGGTCGGTTGATAATGATCAAGTCGATGCTATCTTCACTACCAATTTTTTTACTTATCTTTGTTTAGAATGCCTGAAGGGGTAGCCAAAGAGATTGATAGAATAAATAATAAAAAAAAAAAATCAAAAAGCTAACTTTTAACCTATTTACTCATGATTGGATGAGCCACAATTATAATTTATGAACCAACCCTATTTTTATTTCATTCCATCCTATCTATAGCTCCAGACTGATGTTTTTTGAGCAACTGAATTCCAAGAATGACTGAATAGGGAAAACAATGAACCTCTTGCAAGAAGAAAACCACTGTAGAGAGCATAATCGAGGGAATAAGAAGGAGAAGAAGCTAACCCATAATTGAGAAAATTGGGAATCACAGAAAAATATGAACAAACCCTAAAGGTGCATCCATTGTGAAACAAACTTCAATTTTTTTTTTTTTGAATACATAGACCACAAACATGTGTGTACATAAACATATGTAACAAGGTTAATTCAATATATGTAGAAGTTAGGCGTCTCTCCAATCCAAGTCTCACAATGGTGCAAAGATACATGAAATTAAGAGTTCTTCACCAATGAAATTTCTGTTTTTAAATTTGAGAAAGAGTGTGTTTATACCCTATATACAAGAAAGGAGAAGGACAAGGAGAAGAAGAAGAAGAAGCAATACCTGATGTACGAACATAAAAAATACCGTATTTGATGATAAAGAAATCCAATGAAGAAGATGATCAGCACCACTAGACGATCACTATCTGCAAGACAAAACACCCCAGCCGTAGTCGGGGCCCTCCGACGCCCAAGTCAGTCCTTCAATATTATCAAAATATTTAATGGACTAATTCCTAGAGAGAAATTGCGTACCTCAACCCATAAGGGTGTTGCCTATTTATAATATCCAGTGACTTACTTCTCAAATATTTTGAATGTTCCAGAAGTCCTATCCCAAACAATCTCCGGTTGTTCAAGAATTCTATATCGATAAGATTTCATATCCTGATAAGTTTTGCATAACATAAAACACTAATGCAATGTTTGATAAGAATTTGATAACTGTCATACACATGATAATTTATAATTACCCCACGTGGCAATGTCGGGACCCACATAATTCCTGTAGTTATTTTTATTCACTCTCAATTGCTGTGACGTCCCAAAATTTTTTTTTTTTGAAATATCAAGGGAAATTAAATAAACAAAATGACTTAATAAACTAAAAAGTTGACATCTTAATAGGACATTCCAGCTCTCGTACATAACCAAAGATTCAAATAATATTAAATAAAAACTTAAGATTATCCAAATACAACATCAAATGAAATTATAAGGTCCTTAATAGCTAATTTATAAGATAATAAAGTTATTCGACTTTAGTCATGATTTCAAGTTAGCCAAGGCTCTACGTTAGCGTCAACTCCATTTCAGCTTCAATTATTTCCTCGCCAAAACCTGGCGTAAAACGCCAGGGTAACAAAAATATATGCCATGAGTTTTGTAACACAGTAAGAAAACATAACCAACCTACCATTCTTTTTAAGAGAAAAATAATGAGATTATAAACACGAGATAATAATATAATTGTAAACATGAATTACAACCATTAAAATAATTTCAATAATTTTAATAAATTAGGTAACACTCGAAATCTCACCAAAGAGATTGAACTTACCAACCACTAAGCATGGCAACGGTTAATTTGAAACTCTCCCTTGGTCAAATATTTTAGTGTTACCAACCGTAACTACCAGGGATGCCCACGTCCGGAGTTATGTACCCAAGTAGTAGCATCCGTGGTCTGCCCCAAGGAAACGGTCTGCTAGGGGTACGTAACCTCCCTGTGTGCCATCGGCACATCCACCCTTATTCCAAAACCAAATACTGAAAAGGGTTCAAATAAGTCCCGTGCCATCTTAGAGTTTCGCAACACAATTTACGTGAGAATTCTGAAAACCA